ATCACACTAAATCTTGATTTAAAGCTTTCGTGACTGCAGGAATTCATACTTATTGGGTCTTTCGGTAAAGTCACGTAGATAAAACAAATAATAGATCACGACGTTTCGACGACAACACAGGCAATCGTCTTCAGGTGAGAGAGACAAAGCTATTGAGACAAGGTCTTATATAGGCCTGAGATGGGAGTCCCCTCAGGGTAAGAGGGCGGGGCTAGAGATGGCCTCCCTGAGGCTGAGGAAGTGGCCATTGTGAGAGATTAGCATGCCAATGATGCTTCGGTGGCAGATCGAGTAGGACATCCAGCCTGTCAATACAAAGACATCCAACCTAGAAATGCAACTCAGAGAGTCAGCTAACATCGGCAGGAAGGATGGAAACATCACAGCAGGTTAAGACTTTACCTGGTTAATCACGACCTTCCAATGATTGCTCAATGTGTACCCATCTTCTCGGTTGAAGTTGTGTCTGTGTTTATATATATCTGGATGGCTTCATGGACAAATTTGTCTGCTAATTTCTGACAATACAATGGCCACTTTCACAGCCTCAGGGAGACCATCTCTATCCCCGCCCTCTTACCCTGAGGGGCACCCATCTCAGGCCTATATAAGACCTTGTCTCAGTAGCTTGCTCTCTCTCACCTGAAGACGATTGCCTGTGTTGCGATCGAAACGTCGTGATCAATTATTTTTCCATCTACGTGACTTTACCGCAAGACCCCAAAGAGTGTGATCACACTAGCTTATTCATCAGCGTGCACACGTTCTCACGCCATTGCGACACAGATGTATATGACAATAACGATAATGAATTATGATGTGAGTGATATTGATTGAAGGCCCTACCACACCATGTCAGCCATGAATGTTATTTGACCATACTTTACCATGCTGGTCAGTGTGGATTGGTGAATATTACACGAAATACAGGCACAGACACTATATTACGGCCAGCAGCACTAGTTATTTATGGAAACATCTACACGGGCTTTCGAAAATATGAAGAAGCACTGTTGCCATATACTTACTGCCCCTGAAAATGTATTTGAATGGCACGAAAAATATCCCGAAGCAAAATGTGATGCCAATTCGCTCGTTAAATTCCTTGAGATTATAGCCAGATGAGAGCTCATTGAGACTATACGTCTCTCTGTCAAGGCAGACCTGGGATACGCACACATACATACAAGGATAAACATCAATTGCACAACAACAACATTAAGTGCAATATATCATAAATACACCTTTAAAAAATATCAAGGTATTTCACAGACGATGGGATAAAAAAACAAACAAATACAAAGCCACTATGCGCTGTTTGTAGACCGGATGAGGAGAGCGAAATGATTACAAGAATTTGCACTCCCATTTTCTAAGAAATGTATCCAATTTATTACAAAAAGACCAGCTGTTAGGCAACACATGCATTGAGATTATTTAGATTATTTTGGTGCTTATAAATGTCCAAATGACGGGCCACTTTGTTGAGCTATAATTTGTGGCCAGGTCGCTTCTGAAAAATAAGTTAACACCTCAGTGGGCTTTGCCTGCTAGGATGGGGATGGTTTCGTGTTGTATTTGTGTGCGTTTGGGTGATTTCATTACCTTTCTTGTACTTTGCACTACTATCATGTTTTTGTACTGCTTGTTGTAACATTCTTACCCTGTCCCCCCACTGGACATCTGTGAAACAGAGCTTTATAGCTCATCGGATTCCTCCTGCATAAATACACATGCAAATTCTGATTCTGAATACACATGGGGCAAAGAGGATGGGGAGCGAGGGATGAATGGAGCGATAGAGGAAGGGAGCAGAAAGGGTTGCAATGGCAGAGATGAGCTCCTGATGAACGGTAACAGACAAAGCAATTTTTGGGGGGCCCAAGTGAGCCAGCTTGTTTGAGGCTTCCAGAAGGCCCACGAGCAAAGCATGCCATCAGCTTGACACGCACGCCGCCTTTCCCCAACTCCATGAAGCACTCTGCTCGTATTACCATAACTGTAATCGCAGGGACGGGATAGCCGAACACTCCAATGTAATGCAATCGCAATTCAACACAATTGGGAATTATAAAGTGCCCGAATACAACATTATCGCAATGTCAAAGGAAATAACAACGGTGGAAATCCTACTTATCATTCTGCACTCCACCCAGCACTTTCTGCCGGCACGGATAAGTGGGGTTACCGGTAAGACTAGGGGAGGTTTATAAGCAGGTAGGGATGTTTATAAGCAGGTAGGGAGGTTTATAAGAAGGTTGGGAAAGCTGCCGCGGTTGCAGTGGCAAAGCCACTGGACCTGCGATCCAGAGGTCACCGGTTAGTTTCGACCTCCCTCAACGCGGCAGTTAAAACGATGGTGGGAAGTTTATTAAATTCCACCCCCGTCGTGCCCCCATTTCCGCGTCTGTCCTGTCCACCCAGAAGTAGACATGAGTATGAAACAGTTAGTCCGATTAGTCGGTCGTGTGTCGTGGGGTAAAATGTGGGTGCTCCGACCTCTTCCCAGATGTCTGGTTAGTTTGGAAGAATATGCCAAGTAAATATCCTCTAGGGAGGGGCACTCTGTAAGGGATCCCTACAGTGTGTGAAGGCCCTTCCCACCAGCAGTTACACGAGCACATCATTGCAGCGCTGCGCCCCCATCCTTTGCCTGGAAAAGCTCATCAAGTGAAAACGTTAGTGCAATATGATGAAATTCCTTAAGAGGCTGCGTTGGCAGTGCATGGAAATGTATAATATCAACCCCCAACCCTCTTCATTCATCGTCAACACTTGCTGAAGAACGGGAGAAATGCAACGATAGCCCGACGTGTTGGGCAACAGCCCTTCTTCAGGAAGGCCACTGATGGTAAAGGACGCCGACTAGCGGACGGTTTCCCGGGGGTTGTGCCGCGTCTGGTCGGGCACGACGACCGACGTTTCGCACCCCCGCCTCGTGCTGCGCGGGAGCTGCTTTGGAAAGTGAATTATCCCGAAAAATGAAGCTCCCAGCAGCACGTGGAGTGAAACGTTGGACATCGTGCCGAAACGACGACCCGAGAGCTACGCGGCAGCACGACGGTGAAAGGCGACGCGGCGGCTGAGATTATACTTCACGGCAGCTGCCTGGGAAACTCTGAGGTTGACAAATGAACAGTTTGTTACTCATTATCTGTTAATGGAAAAACTGATCATTTATCAACTTCTAATTTTTCAAGGCGCCGCAGTGTAAAGATTTGTCCTCAAAGAGATTTCCGTTGTGAATTTAAGGGCATTTTGATGATGATGATGATGATAAAGTGTGCTCCCCATATAAATGCTAGTCTATCTCTCTGCCTTCTCCCCTCTCTGCTCTAAATAATGACCTTTTTGCGTACAACTTGAGTTTCATGCATATTTCTCAGTTATAAGGCAAAATATAATGGAGCTGGCGAAACATCCCGAATGTAGGGACACAGAGCTTGGAAAATTGTTAGCGCTGGTTCTGGCCGTTGGACAGCAACTCACAATATTTCACAATTCGGTGCGACGTTTCACTTGGTAGCTACAATCGGTATCATTGAAGGCCCAAAACTGAAGGACATTTTCACAATTCTGGCTACTGCTTGATAATGGCGGTTGTTACAAGCAGCGAAACGTCGAACCCATGTAAATGTTGTGAAATTACTCTCCAACACACTCGTGGTGCTGCTGAAGCAGTAGTGAATTGGTGTGTTTGTTCACGTGACAACAACATGAATTGGGTGGAGGAGAGTGGACAGCACACATTATTGAAGCTATCTGACCCAAAAATCAATGACGAATCATTAAATTGGTCGTGAAAGCCTTCGATGTATTCAACAGCAATGCTGTCAGTTCCATTGGAAAACGTTTCACAGAGCACTTACGTAATGGGTAACGGGTATTTATTTACATCTGCAATCGTTACGTTCGTCATTTCATCACGGGAAATGAAACATTAAAAAGTGAATAGATAAATAAACGTAAAAATGTAACATCATTTCTTTTGAACGGAAACCAAATGAAACATTATTTTAAAAAAGTGAGCCGCGATAATCACGATGCGGCAGTGGTGACATTTCTCAACAACAACAAAACGATTCTAGATTTAAAGCTTTCGTGACTGCAAGGATCCATACTCTTTGGTTCTATTGGGTAAAGTCACGTAGGTAAAAAATAAAATAACAAAAATCACGACGTTTCGGCCACAACACAAGCAGCCTTCATCAGGTGAAGGGACGAGACTGTCTGGAGGACAGCGCTGGAGTGAAAAAAGCCACGCTCAGATCACGACCTTTAAACTGTGTGAGAAGAAACAAAGCGCCTTGACAAAGGAATTAGCATATAATTTAGCATTGAAATGGCTGAGTGATTAGCTTGTGACTGGTCACAGAAATGGCTATGTTAAAGTTAAAGCTGCTCGGTCTGAGCGTGGTTGTGTTTCGCTAAATTCTCCTGTTTGATTTGTACTAGGTGCCTCGGTGAATGTATATGCTCTGATTTAACATAGCTATTTTTGTGACCAGTTACAAGCTAATCACTCAGCTATTTCAATGCTAAATTCTATGCTAATTCCTTTGTCAAGGGGTGCCTCTGCGGATGTGTATACTTTAACTTAGCTATTTCAATGCTAAATTCTATGCTAATTCCTTTGTCAAGGCGCTTTGCTTCTTCTCACACAGCTTAAAGGTCGTGATCTGAGCGTGGCTTTTTTCACTCCAGCGCTGTCCTACCAGACAGTCTCGTCCCTTCACCTGATGAAGGCCGCTTGTGTTGTGGCCGAAACGTCGTGATTTTTGCTATTTTATTTTTTACCTACGTGACTTTACCCAATAGAACCAAAGAGTAAACAACAAAACGGACGGTGCCACCCTCGTGGACCTAGCTCTCATCGGTGGTGTCGCGCCCTCATCTCTCGCGCGTGGCGTTCGGCTTTCCCGAGCAGCACGGCCACGCACACAGCCCTCCCCCCACCCCCCCGGCCCACCCAGCCACCACCACCGCCGCGGTCGACTCACGTTGATGTGCCCCGTGGAGATCTGCATCTCGTGCAGGCGGCGGACCGTGGTGTCGCGGTCGATGAAGTAGGCGGCCGTGAGCTGGTGGAGCAGCTCCTGCGTCTGTGTCGCGTTCTCCACCTGCTTGTCCACTTTCCCTCGGTCCACGTACACGGTCAGCGCCTCCTCCCCTGCGCCATTCCGACAGCGCCGTGGTTAGCTCTCGCGCCTGACCGCCCGTCCGCCCATCCGCCAGCCCACTCACTCAGCAGCGCTTGTTCAAAGCCCACCATCACAAATGTGGTACGGTGCCGCCTTACACAGGGACAAATAATGGGTACAAACGTAAAACATAGGTTGAATGGGAAAAATGTGTAGCCTTTTAGTATCGCTATGCCGCTGATGTCAGCCATGCTCAGGAATTGAAATCACCGATGAGATGAGCTCTTGCACAGGAGCAAGATGCATTGTGGGATCATTGTTGGACCCCAGAAAAAAGTGTACACGAGGGGGTGGCACTCGGCACTGGCATCTCCTGGTCGTCTCACGACCCAGGCCTACAACACCTGGCAAGTCCTGGTGGTGGTTACCCACACACGTGGTAAACTATCTTAATCCGCTTAGTTTCGGATATCTGATAAAGTCGTTTAAAGTACATTTGACCCGACAGAACCTTAAAAATCCTACAGCTGCCCTCGCAAAAGCCTCTTTTGCAAATGGGTTTGATGTAATTACATTTGGAAAAAGCCGAAAACTCTGAACACATCGAAAAAAATGCTTCTAAAAATATCACAACATAATTTTCATTTCTGGTTTAGGATAAAATATATATATATGCGTGTATATTTTTTATTATTATTATTACCACAAAAGAAGAATATCGTCACTCGACTATTGGAAGGAGGCTTCCTTCCCCATGCTGTGTCAGTAATGGGAGGTGTTTGACCACACTTCACCAGACTGGTCAGTTGAGTTGGGTAACTGTGGTGGCGGGATAAACCGGGTACAATTCAAGCAGCACTTGCCACTATGGCTCAATTAAAACTACCTCGCCTTGTTTACAGGAGGTTGTGGGTTCCATCCTGACCCTCACGCCGATATATCTGGAGTTTGCATGTTCTCCCCGTGGCCGCGTGGATTCTTCTTCGGAGTCCTCCGGTTTTTCCCTCCACATGATCAACATGTTTTCGAGAATATTTGGCTGCTCATACATTTGCAAATGATAAGCCACTTCGTTGAGCTATCACGTGTGGCCAGGTCGCTTCTGAGAGATATACAGTATAACTCAGTGGGCCTTGCCTGGTAAGGTAAAAAAGAGTTTTAGTTTGATTTTAGCCATGTCCCGGTATCAAACCCAAGTCAGCAGATTTCATAACACGGTGCACTATCCGCTACCCCACCTCTTCCCGTGCAGACAACATGTAATGAAAAATACATTTCCCAAAGCTGCAATCCACCTAAAGTGTGGCAGATGAGAGCCGAATGATAAAATTTTAAAAACACTATTAAAGCCTCGGCAGAGTCTTCACAGAGGCAATCGCTTGCTCGCGTACAATTTATTTGCTGAGCAAAACACCGAGAAGCCTCCTGACCCAGATAGGAAAGTATATAAAAGCGGATTGGCTTTCCTGAATGCAAACAATGAACGGGAGAGCACTTATTGGTGCGCCATCTGAGACATCACAACTCGGAAAATATGTGCCTGTAGCCTGTATTTATTGTACGCTCACAATTTTCCGAAGCACACACAGCTCTGTTGAAATATTTTTTTAATATATATAAAATTTCCCATCGAGTTGCACGCAGCAGCTGACGTCAGGAGCCAGCTGTTACGTCGACTCTACCGCCACCTTTATGGTGACAGCGAAGCCAAGGGCGCAGTGACCTGCCCGCTGATTAATAATGTTACACAAAAACAACTATTTATTTTTTGTCCCTGGGTAGCAAGTGTTATCTCCTAATTGCTTATGCCTCAAAAGTAGGTAAAATGTTCTTTGGTTCTTTCGGTAAAGTCACCACGTAGAATGAGAATAAAATAATAAATTGATAAAATAAAATAACACAATAATATTCTCACGACGTTTCGGCCACAACACAAGCGGCCTTCATCAGGTGAAGGGACGAGACTGTCTGGTAGGACAGCGCTGGAGTGAAAAATAGTTTATTATTCCTCACAAACTTTGCTTTTGTGACCAGGACACAAAGGCAAAGTTAATAATCGACTCAATTAATAACACTGTGTAACACAAATTAATTATAATTTGTCCCTGGGTAGTCAGTGTTGTTTTTGTATTGCTTATACCTAAAAAGTATAGAAAATGGCTATTATTCCCCACAAACTTTGCTTTTGTGACCAGGACAGTGATATTTTGAAATTTACCTATTTTCAATGAGAAAACGCGGTGTGCATTTGTATCATTCCTTCACGTAAAGTCCCACTCACAAAAACAAAGTTCGTGGGGAATAATAGCCAGTTTCTATACTTTTTAGGTATAAGCAATAAAAAAATAACACTTAGTACCCACAAAAAAATAATTGTGTTCACATCGTGATATATATAATAATAATCAATGGGCGATCGCTTTAGCAGTGCCAGGCCAGAGGTAAAACAGAAGTAAAAACGGAGCAAAAACTTCGTGGGCCCCCAGAGTTGTGTGTACGTTGAACGTCATTCATGGCCGTATGCAGCCAAGCGTGCTAATGGGACTTGTGCGGGTAAGAAGCACAACAAACAAATCACAGTTCACTTGTTTACATCACTTGTTTACATCACTTGTTTACATCACTTGTTTACATCACAGTACACTTGTTTACATCATAGTACACTTGTTTACATCACTTGTTTACATCACAGTACACTTGTTTACATCACAGTTCACTTGTTTACATCACTTGTTTACATCACAGTACACTTGTTTATATCACAGTTCACTTGTTTACATCACTTGTTTACATCACTTGTTTACATCACTTGTTTACATCACAGTACACCTGTTTACATCACAGTACACTTGTTTACATCACTTGTTTACATCACTTGTTTACATCACAGTACACTTGTTTACATCACTTGTTTACATCACTTGTTTACATCACAGTACACTTGTTTACATCACTTGTTTACACCACAGTACACTTGTTTACATCACAGTTCACTTGTTTACATCACTTGTTTACACCACAGTTCACTTGTTTACATCACTTGTTTACATCACTTGTTTACATCACAGTTCACTTGTTTACATCATAGTACACTTGTTTACATCACAGTACACTTGTTTACATCACTTGTTTACACCACTTGTTTACATCACAGTACACTTGTTTACATCACCTGTTTACATCACTTGTTTACAACACTTGTTTACATCACAGTACACTTGTTTACATCACTTGTTTACATCACTTGTTTACATCACAGTACACTTGTTTACATCACAGTACACTTGTTTACATCACAGTACACTTGTTTACATCACTTGTTTACAACACAGTACACTTGTTTACATCACGGGCGCGTTGCTAACGCAGGATGTTGTTGTTGCTGCCGTCGTCAGCGTCGTTGCCATCGTCGTCACGCGTGCAGCGAACGAAGCGTGAACGGAATATCAACTCAAATTGTCGTTATTCTTTGGTTCTTTCGGTAAAGTCACGTAGATAGACGAAATAATAAAAAATAAAAACCACGAATAAAAACCACGGCGGTTCGATCGCTCGTGTTGCAATCGAAACGTCGTGGTTATTTGATTTGAAGGAAACCATCCTCTCTGGTTCTTTCGGTGAAGTCACGTAGATAGAAAAAAAAAAGAACAACAAAAAAACCACGACGTTTCGGTCGCAACACAAGCGTCCGTCTTCAGGTGAGAAAATTATCTGCTGTTGTGGCTTTATATAGGTACGGGGAAAGGGGGGGGAGAGGAGTTGTTGTCGAGTCGTGCCCGCAGGAGTTCATGTCAATTAGCTTGAATTAGTAACCATACACTAAGACGAGACGGGTGGGTGAGTGAAAATCATAGCAGTTCAAACTTGACGTGTTTTAGCACGTCCTTCCAATGATTGCTCATTCTGAATCCATCTTCTCGATTAAAGTTGTGTCTGTGTTTGTTTGTATATCTGGATGGCTTCATGAACAAATCTCTGATGGTAGCCCGAGGGTTTGCTGAGCACCTTGGTCTCGGAAAAAAAATCAAATGTCACGTGTGCCCACAGCGTTGAAACAATGATCCTCCACCGCCGAGGTGTTGGTTCTGCCGTGTTTCAAATCCGCTTTGTGTTCGCGAACCCGGTCTGAGACACGTCGCTTCGTTTCACCAATGTAACTGCTGCCGCAGACATAACTCAGCTTATAGACACCAGGACATTGCATGTCTGTAATCGCATCCTTCACCGATGGGATCAAATCACGGATTTTGTGTACTGCATTGAACCGAACTTGCCATCGAGCCCCCCCCGCCCCAAAAAATAAAAAAAATAAACTCTATTAGGAAAGGGTGCCACTTTGGAGAGATTGTGATTGATCTCAAGATAGACTGGTCAGCGCCATGAGAATGTGGAATTTCAATCACTGGCTTCGAAGCACCAATGAGAGACAAGTGCCATCAGATTGCACACTTCTGCTTTTGAATGAGAGCATGTGTACAATTTGGCCGATGGACTGTTTCGACAACGCACTCTTCCCAATGACAAAACGAATCCTGAGAAAACACACCACCCTCTCGTGTGCACGGGTCCTTTCGGGCCACTCTGGTTTCCTCCCGCACAAAGCCAAACACTCATTAATGTAATTTGCCAAACATCACAATATAGGACCTTTTCTGAAAGCAAAGAAAAAGTCTTAAATCCGAGTGAGACCTTCCTGGGTAATCCGGTGCCAATGCTCCAATCAAACGCTCTTACCGCTCGGCTATGTTAACGCGGGCATGATCTGAAAGCAAATCAGAGAGCTATGCAGCGCAGCACAGCCACCAAAACCTGCCCAAGGAGATAATAATTGCCGCTGTTATTTATGATTTCAAATCAACGATTGTATGCATTTTCTCGGTTCAAAAAATATACATTTGGATTGAGGCATCAATTCAAATTAGCAACGTACGCTCTAATGGAACTTGGTGAGAGAAATTATGTCATTCATTTTTTTTTTAAAAGGTAACCAAATAAATCGATAAACACTGTACGTACGCTTGGCTCCGCAAATGCACTTCGTATTGGCAGGCCTCACCACAGAGGTAGGATGGGATAATGGCAGGGACCCCACACCCACAATGGCAAAGCCCTGTCCGTTTACAGAGAAGAAGTGATTTATAATGACACGTTGCCTGACGTTGGACTACAGTCATCACAAAATACAAACCAGGAGTTTCAGCATTCATGGACAAAAACGGATGTACCAAATATGAGATAATATTCAGATATGAATGATGTGAAGTTGTGAACATAAAACAAACTAGTGAATCTAACATGAATATTCAAGTTAATCTCTGCACCCCCCCCCCCACTTCACAACTTCCCTGTCACTTGACTACATTGCTCTCATTTCATGACATAACAGTCTCATCTTTGTCTCTCGTTTCTAATCTCACTACATCTCTCTCCCTTGACGCCATCTCTCATTTCACTCCACTTCTGTCTCATCCGCATCTCTCTTCTCTCATCTCAAATTTAGTTTTCTCTCTCTCTCTCATCTTTCCACTTCTCTATCAATTTGCCAGTATCCCTTTTACCATTTCAATTCGGGGATTATAAATTGAAAGTGGGGGAGGTGGGGGAGTCACAAAAAATGATTTCTGTGTCTGGCCCCCACAGGACAGCAGAGACCACTGGTCGCTACAGTTTATTTTTTATTTTTTTGTGTGTTCGATGACCATAACAGATTTCTAACAGGAACTCGACCTCTTATGGGACTTTACACTCGGGGTCAAGTGCTTGCTACTACCACCGTCACTGCAAGGTTTCCATTGTTTTCCAATCACGAGCCGTGGGCAATGTCCCGATTAGCGTTCATACTAAAATCGCTCGGGTAAATACGAATAGGCAGACTGAGGGGGTGTTCATCTGAATGGAAATTCTTCACGTGGAAAATTGTGCTTTTTATCAGTGCCGTAAACGCAAGGGGTATAACGATGCATCAATCTGCCGATTAACATCGATTCGTACGGCGAGCGGTGGCACAGCAGTTAGCGTGCTGCACTACGAACTCCGGTCGCCAGGGTTTAATATGCTGGTCCTGGGCGCCACCTCCCCCCCCACACCCACCCACCCTCTATCACCAACCTGCACCGACCAGTGTGATGAAGTATGGTCAAACTATTTCAATGACCAACGCAGGACGGGAGGCCTCCGTCCGGTATTTTATTGACCGACGGCTGTAAATAATAATTTAAAAAATGTATAGAAGCAATAGCAATGATAATAATACTACAGATGGAAAACAGTTAGGGTGGGAGAAAACACGTGACCCGAGTCCTTCCTCTTAAACGGACAACACAGTGAGGTGAGATGTAAAAATCCACCTTCTGCACGTACGTACGTTGAATCTCTTTCGCACCGCACGTAGCCAATCGTGCCAATCGGAGGTGCGGGGGAAAGGACCTCTCCAGCAAACACGGCTAGAAAGGTCATCAAGCCGATGCGATTGATGCCATCACACCTCACGGTCGCTTCATCTCTTGCTGGCAAATCCCTGCCGGCTGTTAAATAATTGACGTGGCCGAGCCGTAGGTGCGTTTGCCACTCGTCGCGGGGGGGGTTCACTGTTCGAAGCCGGCAGGCCGTTCCGATCAATACCGCAACAACACTGCGTGCCGTCTGTTTCGCAGTGGACGTCAGAGATCCAGTGACGTCATTCGCAAGGAGGAGGCCATTGTGTGCCGGCGTCGTGGTTCATATTTTGCCAAGAATTTTGTTTTAGAATTACCCCGCAGATGACTCGGTTAGGATCATGCATGGCAATCCTCAGCCCCCAACTGCGAAAACCTGGCATGACCGCCAGCCACCCCATCCCCCTTAGCGAAAAATATTCACGGGCGGTTTATATGAGACCACGCTTCAAGTCTCATCGCCACTACCGTCTGGCTTTTGGACTGCCGCTGGGTCTCTGATCTCTGGGTTGCCTTCTCCAGTCAATGTCTCAGTCGCGAGAACATTCCCTCCTCCATCCTGCCCACATGTCCCATCCATCACGACGTCTTCTTAATCCTGATGAAATATGCAGCAATTCTCCTGCCTTGCTCTGTTGTGAACTTCCATGTTGCTTACCCTCTCCTACCGTGACATTCTTATCTCAGCTGACAGACGTAACTGATATATTGCACGCCCGTGATCCTTCTCTTGGGAGGACAGGATTGGTGGACGACACAGAGATGAGTGAAACCCCCAAACCAGCTGGGCTGTGAGGTGAAACCAAGAGTAAAGGTGCAGTCCTGCAATTGCTTTTCCCAAGCCACTGCTGGCGGAAGGGCCTCCAATAGAGGGGGCTTTAGAGAGCCACTCTAGTGGGCCATCCTGGCCAGATATCTTGGATGAGGTGAAGGTACCTGAACTTAATCGCACCAAACGTGGCCTGCCGATCACCGATCTGTGGTGTCCCCATTTATACTGCTGAGTGGACAGAAACAGGTGGAAATAAGAAAGTTGCACCACCATTGCAGCTGCCACGCCAGGAGACAGAACCGGCAACTTTTGGATTGCAAGCCCAGCGTGCAAACTATTACCACAAGGTAGCATCCCTATGGCTATAATAAGTTGATTTAATTAATCTGCGTGCAGCTTTCAGTGCTATCGCCTCGTACGTGTGGGTTTTCTCTCAGCACTTTGCATCCCTCCCACGTGACAAATGCTCATTCATGAAAAATAATCCGAGTGTCCATTGCAGCCTTTAGATTCAGTGAGCCTTTCCTAGGCACATTATGATCATCAAAGTGCATGGTCGATCCACCGCTGGATGAAGGCTTCCCAAAGCCGCCGACACCTCTGCGATGTGACAGTTCACGTAGCGCCCGCACACCACCAGATTTCGCCGATCCATCTCGTCAACGTACGTCCGGCCGGTCGCAATCATTATTCTAGAAAATCACGGATCAAATAAAACCAGAGGGGGTGGTGCACCCATGACCACATTCACATATTTTATTATCTCTGTCCAGAGCCAATGCTCAGATGACCTAGACGGGACCCAGGCCAGATCGACTTCAATGAGCACAATGTACTTGTTGGCAGAGGGCCAATTAAACCTGGCAGAGGCAGATGGTCATTAGTTCTGCCAGGCTTGAAGGAGGGTTGTATTTCAGAAAACACACAAACAGCTCTTATCTCGTGGCGTATACCTGCCTGTGCCGTGTGCCCCGGGCGGTGCGAGCTGAGATTGAAGCTTCGTTAATGAGAGGACACATACACACGGTGGCCCAAAAAGTCAGGACACATAGGGTTATTTAATGCACTTTATCAGTGGCATGAAAAAAATAATCATTCTTGTTCATTCTCTCGGTTCATATTTTATATCTCTTAAAATGTTTTCCTATTTTTCCATCTTCCCTTTCAGAGGACGTTTAAAAGCGGCAATAAAATTAACTGAAGACGAACGAGTGCAATTGTTTTTTTTTTATGGATCAGAACCAGAATCTTTATCCGTACCGGGGAAATCCGATGCTAATGACAGCAGTGCTAAAGACGGTGAAGGAGGCAGTGATTGGGGTTGAGATGTAAAGCAGGGCGGGGGGGGGGGTGGGAGAGCCAATGGGAAGGAGATGGATGAGCGAGAGTGGGAAGAACGCACTCGTACTGGGGGTGGTGGGTGTGATGAGAAATGGGAGGTAACGAGCTTGTGAGGAGGGTCGGTGGGGGGGGGGGGTGGGGGAGTGCGGTGTGGTGGGGACTGGGTGAGGTTAGAAGATTGACGTTTAGGTGCGATCGGCGGATGCGTCGAGCTCAGGGCCGCGAAGGGAAAAGGTGGCCAGATGAGCACCTCCGACTAGCATCTCTGACGAGCACGGTTGGCTACGTATGGTGCGAAAAAAGTTCAATATACATACATAAACATGCATACCAATGCCCCGACGCTCAAAACTGATCTGGAACTTCGCCCTTTGATACCGAGAAGGGTGGGGAACGTAAGGTAGGCGGCGGTGGCGCCGTTACCTCCAAGCGTGGCGGAGAGCAGGACGTGCGTGCCGTAGCGCCGGATGAGCCCGTCGGTGAGCTGCTGCGCCGACGGCCGGCGGCCGAGCCGGCGCAGCGTCTGCAGGAACTCGGGGGCGAGTCCCACGTGGGCGCCCAGACCCTCCTGCCGGCCGATCGCCACGTTGTTCACCCTCCATCGCGCAAACTCCCTGCATGTGACGGACGCGCACGCGCAAGCACAACACGCACGTGGGTCACCGAACTCAGCGACTGGCAGTCGATCGGCAAGTCGTAATGCCATAACGCCTTTCCTCTGTGGGGCACTGTTTTTCGCTTGTGTGCGAGCATCTACGGTAGGTCGAGATGCAGCCACGGTTGCATTTGGTAGCGCGCTGTACTTGCAATCCAGAGGCCGCCGGTTCGATTTCGCCTCCGTGCTTGACAGTCGAAACAATCGGCAATTTTCGTTAATACCCCAAACCTCCTCCGTCCGGCCAGAGGTGTAAATGGGTACCGCCAGAGGCAGTCGATCGGCAAGTCTCGTGCGGTGAGTGGGTGGGTGGGGTAAACTGTGGGTACTCCCACCTCTTCCGTGGAGAGGAAGACGAGGCCAAAATACCCTGAAGAGGAGCCCAACATACTGTACATACATACGGGATCTGTACGCACAGCACAGATCCACGATATGGCCTGCTGCAAGTATGACCAGGTGTGCATACACAAATACAAAGATCTCCCGTGTAGCCTTTAACAGACTGTGGCCGCAAGTACTCTTGGCGAGCACCTATGAATATCAGCATGGCACACGAGGGAGTGGGTGGCCAGTACCACGCCCAGTACTGATGTTTGACATATCACACCGGGTACTCGTTTAAAATGAGAAAATATTGAGAAAGCAACCTCCAACTTTTCGATTTAAAGCTTTCGTGACTGCAGGGAGTCATATTCTTGCTTCTTTCGGTAAAGTCACGTAGAAGGGAAATAATAAAATAATACTAATAAAACAGTAAAACTATCACGACGTTTTGATTGCAACACAAAAACCGCCACTTTTTAAAAAAATATATATTGCTGTGGTTTTCACACCTGATGATGATTGCTTGTGTTGCAATCGAAACGTCGTGAGAATTTAATTGTTTTATTTTTATTATTTCATTCTTTCCCTTCTACGTGACTTTACCGAAAGAACCAAGAATGTAACCTCCAACATTTTAACTTTGAATTTTTTGGAAAAATGTGCTTTCTTTTGTTTTATTGTACTGATACAATCTGGCAACATACAAATACGTTTCAGGTTCATGATTTTTTGTTAACAGAGATAATAGTCCCGTTTAGCCAGTTGCCCATCTATTTTTGCGAGGGAGATCAGTGGCACACGGACACAGCAGCAGTAACAACATCAACAAAAATAAAGACAAAAAGCGTTAATATTGCAGAGCACAAGTACAGGGTCCTTAGGGAACAGTGCACAAGTAACAAACGAGGTCTTTGAAAATACAGTAAAACCTTGGATTGCGAGCATAATTCGTTCCGGAAAAGTGTTTGTAATCCAAAGCACTCGTAAATCAAAGCACTCGTATATCAGTTGTGATCACGTGACGCTCGGCAGACAAAGCGTATACGTACACTACTCGTATTGCAAGACCTCGCTCGTTTATCAAATTAATATTTATTTAAAATTTTTGCTCGTCTTGCAAAACACTCGCAGACCAAGTTACCCGCAATCCAAGGTTTTACTGCACATGCAAATAGAGTCCACAAAATATATAGAATTAAACGGATATTGGAAGCCACTGGAGCTATGCACTAAAATCTAGATTGAAAACTCATTTATTTTTAGTTTATTTTGTTCCCCTTCCTCCGCACCCCCGATTAGCACGGTTGGCTACGTACAGTGCGAAAGAAGTTCAACATATGCACGGTACACACGCTACCAATCGACCAAAGTCAGATGTCCTTTTATAGGCACTCCATTAATGAATGCAGTTCCCATGGCCGTCGCAGGGAGAGAGACGTGAATCCGAATGGGCAATCACTTCCCACACACCACCAGCTGCACTTTGTTGATCAAAATGAAAAATAAATAAATCCATGCACACTCTATTCCACTCTTTTAAGCCTCAAGGGAATCTTGGATTTTTTTTCACTCTTCGTCTTTGACCACCCCGTTACCCTCTTTTGCTAATAGCGGGTCTGGCAATTTCAATCTAAGCGGAGAATCCCACGCTGCGCCGGAATGACATTTACCATTGACAGGCCTGTCTGTATAAACCCTCCAAGTGGAATTGATGAATTTGTCCTCTTCCAATTAGTGCCGGTCTACTAAGGGCCGGATTAAAACCGTCCAAACTCATTTCCCTTGTGTCCCCAACAGCTGTCAGCGAAAGGACACCTACGTCCCATTAGACCGAACGGGAGTTGAACCCGGGTGCAAAAAGGTTGAGAGGCTAAGGCCACAAATACGGATTGCGTCTCCCCGCGCCTGTTCATTTTTAATTTACTGTAGCCGCACGGCCCCTGGCCGCGGGATGGGTCGGCGATCACCGGTGGAATATCCACGGGCTCGTGCGGGAGGAGGCGGTGATCTCGGCGGCAAGTGCTCGATACAAGGCAGCCGCTTGCGACGGCTTGGGACGTTCCTCCAGTTCCTCGCGTGATCTTCCATAAGATGCATTCAATCCGAATTGTAAGAATCCTAACCGTGATTCTGCTGCGATTTGGTCAACTCGCAGCGACACGCGGGGTCTTAATACACCCGTTGTGAAGACATTTTCTTAAACATCAGTAGTAGTAGTAGTATTTATATTCTTGTATCTTAACTTACATTTGTCTTCTGCTGGATGTGTCTCACCAATCGCTTCCACCTGCCACAACTTTGTGGCGCTGACTGTGCAGCACGCTCTCCCCTGTTTTGCTTTTGCGTAAAATGATATATTTTTTTTAAATCGCGATTTTGTAGAAACTACAATTTCTCGTGATTTTAAAATGTGCAAAACAGAGTTCAAGAGGGACCATGTGGTGTACACCTTAACCTCGTAGATGATGCGTGGATGAGGGCGATCGCGATTCAGTTTAATATAGAGTATATAAGATCCCGATTATATGAGTACATTCGTGAGAGCGAAACTTAAAATCAGACCATTGCTGTGCGGCTCTGTGGCGTTATTCCATGCGGTACACCGTGTCGTTCGGAACGGTGTCCGACGTTTCCCTCCGCGTGCTGGGAGCGTCTTCAGTGACTTAATTATCCACGTGCTGGGAGCTTCTCCAAGTGAAGCAACTCATCGAAGGTCGCACCTCCGATTAGCACGGGTTGGCTACGTACGGTGCGAAAGAAGTTCAACATGACACAGGCGGGAGACGCATACCAAGGCGTGCTAGACAGCTGCCGCGCTATGCCACGCGCATTTCTGCCTTCTCTCAAATTAGCCGGTAGATATATGCATATATTGTTATAAACGTGTGGCTGAATTAGATTCAGTTCCTAATGAAGCTCGAAGCACGTGGGGCTAAACGTCGGACATCGTGGCGCGCAACACGGGGTAGCAACCCGGAAACACAAATGCGAGATCGAGGCATGAAATCACACCGCACACGCGGCCACAAACGGAGTTTACCTATAATTACAATACACCCCCCCCCCCCCCCCCCGCCTCTAATCACTGCACCTGATATGAGTTAAGTGATGACGTCACCCTGCTGCTCTATATAAAACCGGGAGCAAGCGAGGGCTTTACCATTCTGGCGAATTGCCCGATGACGCTGGATGTATTTACCAGCGAAACGTCGTACTCAAACTGTAAATGTGGATTAACTCTTCAACACACCGGTGGGCTGAAGTAGTGAATTATTTATCTTTTGTCAACGTGACACTTTTTTTGCTGATTGGCCGTGTCGGGTGGTGGAGGGTTACGACACATTTATAAATAAACGCGATCTAACCCAAAAACCTTTATTATGAATAATATTGGTCGCGAAAGCCTACGTGTTAAACTGGAGTTTACCTCCGCTAACGGAGAAAAATCCACACGACCACGGGGAGAGAGAGACACACACAAACTCCAAACACACAGGCACCGTCAGGGTCGGGATTGAACCCACAAACCTCCTGCACACCAGGCGGGGTAGTTATCATATCGCCAGCGTGAGCGCTTTAGTCGGGAGCGCGCTGGTGCTTAGCTAGACCCTTCCGGCGTGCGAGGACTCGAGCCAATAAGAGAGCGGGCCCACCCCCCCCCCACCTCCACATCCTCGGGAGCTTACGGCCGTTAGCGTAACGCGTGGATCGCACGCCCTTGAGACAACGGGACGCTGGGAAAGCTAATGTTACATCCCCGCAAGAGGAAAATAACGGAGTTTGGCCCTTCCCCCTGGGGATCCGGAGCCGCTACTCCCTGACACCTGCCTGGCCCCTGAAACAATAATGACGATGGCTTTTTATCGCATGAGATTAAAAAAAAAAGTGTTATCGTAAATGCTTTCATAAATTATGAAAAGCAAAAAAAATTGGTCATAACTTTGACCCCAACGCTAATGACTTTAAAAATGGGGGTCGAGCAGCTAATTAGTGTTTAATTGCATGGCTTATACCTCTAACGGTAATGGATTCTCTGCTTGCCTTGCCAATTGAGCCTATCTGTAATTGCATTAAAAGTTAAAAACACACCTCTCCTATTCAATGTGCGACGATTACTTGTAAGTGAATTGCCCTTCGATGGCTTTTGATGCAAGATTGCTGACGTTAATTTAATCAATGTGTTTTTTTTAAGACCCTCACCCCACTTCTTCCCTCCAGATATAAGTTAATGGTATTGGGAAAATGTAAAAAAATTAACACGATGCCATCCTTGATGTGAACTTAAAGAGCACCTTAAAAAAAATCTGTATTATTCTACCCATATTAATGCGCTTAAAAAAATAACTTAATTTTTTTATGCTAAGAAGCGGGAAACATTATAAAAGCATCAGACGTTGAAGATGTGACACACTGATGCGCGTGCAACACCACCATACTAATAGTCGGGGCAGCAAGTGTGTTTAAGGCCTTTTTAAACGTAAGTGCATGCGATAATTACATTTTTGCAGTGTGCTTTGACGACCGAAATTAATTGCTTGTCTGTGTATATTGAGCCGAACAGCCATGCATTAGTTATGTGTCTGTACAGCTAATGCCATCAAAGTGCTGCTCCTGATTATAGACGGAGAAGCA